TTCTGTGTATTTTCTTAGCATGCACACTTTGTTTTGTTGTGCTGGTGTACTGACTGGTTCCGTCCTGCAGGTGGGTGATGTTGGAGAACGTGCACCTGGCCCCTGGATGGCTGATGCAGCTGGAGAAGAAGCTTCACTCCATGCAGCCTCATGCCAGCTTCAGGCTTTTCCTCACAATGGAGATCAACCCCAAGGTAAACCATGTCACTCATTAAAACATTCCATTATTCATTCATTCTCACTTCTAGCACCTGAGTTCCTTTCCACTTTCACTCCTCTAAGTCTCAGTACTGTGTTTCCTCACCAGGTTCCAGTGAATCTGCTTCGTGCCGGTCGTATCTTCGTGTTTGAGCCTCCTCCTGGTGTCAAGGCCAACATGCTCAGAACCTTCAGCAACATCCCTGTGGCTCGCATGTGCAAGGTGACCTAATCTGGATTTACAAAAGCACACACTCGCACCTAAAGTCTTGTCATTACCATCAATTCTGTCTGCGTTTGCTGCCTTAATGACTCTTTTTCCTGTTTCTGCTTGTATAGGCTCCCAACGAGCGTGCTCGTCTCTACTTCCTGCTCGCTTGGTTCCACGCAGTCATTCAGGAGCGTCTGCGCTATGCCCCACTGGGCTGGTCCAAGAAATATGAGTTTGGAGAGTCTGACCTCCGCTCTGCCTGCGACACCGTGGATACTTGGCTGGACGACACTGCTAAGGTAAGATTGAATTTTTTATATTTTCAATATAAACTTATGTCAACAAACCATAGATAAACACAGTTCAACTACAATATGTTTTTTTATTCATTTACCAGTATATGCTCTGTATCAACTTAGAATTTCGGTGCATCCCCCCTGTAAATATAACAACCATGACACACTTTCCTTCATGCACACACACACAGGGTCGTCAAAATATTGCACCAGACAAGATCCCCTGGGCGGCTCTGAAAACTCTGATGGCCCAGTCCATCTATGGCGGCCGCATTGACAACGAGTTCGACCAGCGTCTGCTCACCACCTTCCTCGATCGCATCTTCACCAAGAGAAGCTTTGACAGCGATTTCAAACTGGCTTTCAAAGTTGACGGGCACAAGGACATCAAGATGCCCGACGGAATTCGGTCAGTAGTGTTTTTTTTATCGTTTGTTAATATTTAAGGGATGTTTTTTTATGACGCCACCCAGTTAAAGACTAATTTTTGTATTTGTTACAGGCGTGAGGAGTTCATACACTGGGTAGAGTTGCTTCCTGACACCCAGACTCCATCTTGGCTTGGGTTGCCAAGCAACGCTGAGACGGTCTTGCTCACCACTCAGGGTACGCCACAGCCGGTCCTCTTCGTCATCTGTATTTGGTTGCTCTGTTACAGTAACTGGACCACAACATATCCTGATTCTCCTTCCTCAATCCATCTGTTCAGATTCCATGATTTCATTGTGCAGACCATTAACCATCTCTCTCTCTCTAGTGTCTTACCTTTTGTTTTGACAGGGGGTCACAATCTTTCAGTTTTGCGTCTGCTTTGGGCAGAATACTGTGTGCATGTGGTGGAAGAAAATGATTCATTAAGGGTGCTTCCTTACTTACTAATCTCTCATCTTCTCATGGATTCACTTCACCAGTTTTCCATGGCATCCCAAGTAGCTCCTAGTTTCAGTTTCTCATTCCCACAGGTCCTTGAAATCCATGAAAGCAAGTTTGATAGAGAATAAAACTAATAAAAGGCGTTGAAAGCTATATGAAAATGGAGATAAAAAGATATGGGTCATTGGGAAGGCTTGAATTCATAATTTGTGCAAGAATAGAAATGGAAGTTATTTTGGTATTATTTTTATTTAAAGCTAGTTGTGGAAACTCCTTAAATGTGATGTTTCAGAAGGGAACCCAGAGTCTTGTATATTGTAGTCCTACAGATCAGCTGTCTAGCCTAGCAGTACTCGTAGCCATCGTACTTTAAAAGGTGTTCTGCCCAAAGGAAGGCTGTGTGTGTCCTCACCCTCCAGCAGCTGTATTTCACAGCCATCATGTCGCTTTGCTGAAATTTGTATCCACTCCCCACCTTGAGATTAGGATTTAAACAACCACACTCCTCCCCATCCCCTCAATCACAGCCCCCTTTCCTCCCTGCTTTGTCAGATTTTATTTCCACACCCCTCCATTTTCCACAATCCCAGCTGCCAAATCCTTCCCCCTCTCCACCTCTTCTCCACCCTCACTCCTGCCCCTTTAGATTGTCTCTCCGGCCCGTTACCCTGTAGTGTTTACATGTATTTCTTTTACATATCCAGTTATTCATGAAAGTGCTTAATTTATCCACCTGGAAACTGTTAAATGGTACAATTTAATGTGAATATTGCCTGAAGCCTTGTGTCTTTTGTCCTGCTCAGTGTTGTCCTTATTTGTTTCTGTCTGCCACGACTCCCTTGTTTTATACAAACTAATCTTTATTAACACTTCCTCGAGGTAAGCGGTTTGTTTCTTTGTTCCACTATTAATTTCTTCTCCCCCTACCTCCCACCATGGCCTTGTCTTCCACCTCCTTCCCCGCTCACTCGCTCCCTCCACCTGGCTGCGCAGGCATTGACATGATGGGTAAGATGCTGAAAATGCAGATGTTGGAGGATGAGGACGACCTTGCCTACGATACGGAGATAAAGGAGCGCACTTCTTCCACATCTGATGCCCAGCCGGCCTGGATGAGGATCCTCCACACCACCGCCTGCAACTGGCTGCAGCTGGTGCCCCAATCTGTCAATCCACTGAAACGCACAGTGGAGAACATCAAGGTAAAGGCAGAAACAGGAGGAAGGTTGTTGGCAAGCAGACTTCTGGAGACGTACCTGTAAAATTACGTTTTAAACAAGAAGCTGTACAACATCCTCTGCAATTACTGTTATGTAGATCCGTTGTTTTGTTTAAAATGTGTTATACTCATGAGGTATGGAGGTAAAATGAAATGAAACGAAAGCACAGGTTTGAATTTCAACAGATGAACATGCACTTGCTTTTCTTCTGTATTTGATTTGATTTCCTCTTTGCCCAAACACCAGGACCCACTGTTCCGCTTCTTTGAGCGCGAGGTTAAGATGGGCGGAAAGATGCTGCAGGAGGTCCGCCAGGATCTGACCGATGTGGTGCAAGTGTGTGAGGGCAAGAAGAAGCAGACTAACGACCTGCGCTCACTCATTAGCGAACTAGTTAAAGGTAAAATCTTCCTTCTCACTCATTTGTAACCATTTTTCTTTAAACTTGCTTTATTGAGATCAATGAACATGGCAATTTAACCTTTTTTTAGGGCTACAGCTGTTATTTTTATTTGTTAGACTCCTATTGCAGCTCTACATTGTGCACTTAAAAATCATTGGTTGTTTTGACCAACAAGATGTCCTTAAACCGCTTGTACTTTGAGAGAATAACTGGTATACACCCTCTCTTCTTTTCCCCAGGCATCCTCCCTCGCAGCTGGTGTCGCTACACAGTTCCAGCCTCCATGACGGTGATCCAGTGGGTGGCAGACTTCAGTGAGCGAATCAAACAGCTGCAGCAGATCTCCCAGGGTGCTGCCAGTGGGGGTGCAAAGGAACTGAAGGTACTGTTTGGTTAACTGTTGGTGCACAGTATCAAACAACCTGTATATGAATGTCATGTTGGATTCCTTAAATATAGACAGAGCCACTTACAGTAATGTTATTTTTGTTTTTTTCTCCCGTTTCTCCTTCTGCAGAACATCCATGTGTGCCTCGGCAGCCTGTTTGTGCCGGAGGCTTACATCACCGCTACACGGCAGTATGTGGCCCAAGCTAACAGCTGGTCTCTGGAGGAGCTGTGCCTGGAGGTCACTGTCACCACCGCCCAGGGTGCTGCCCTGGACGCCTGCAGCTTCGGCATCAAAGGTAAGACAAGCAGGGTCAAACTATTTATTTAGCAGCATGTACCCATAGTGTGAATGTAATCATTTGCATCTAGGTACAACATGTATTACAAACAGATATTTTTTGACTGAAAAGTTTGATCAGTTACTTCAAAGTATTGTACCATTATCCAGCTCTATATGGAGCCTTAATTCTTAGTGTGGCAAATACTTACTCAACTTTTGAAAACGTAAGTACTGTTCTATTATTTATTGGACATTTTTAAAATGTTGTTCAAATGTGGAACATTTCACCGTTTCTCTCAGGTCTGAAACTGCAGGGAGCTACTTGTGCCAACAACAAGCTGTCTCTGTCCACCACCATCTCCACTGAGCTGCCTCTCACTCAGCTCCACTGGATCACGCAATGCAGCGCTGAGAAGAGACACATGGTACGAACAAGATGTTTTTACACAATATATAGCTTCGTTTTTATCAAATAATCCATGCAGAGACTATTTAGGAAAATATGTCTTACTGAAATGATTTTGGCCATCTCCTCATGTATTTGTATTTCTCTTGCAGGTGTGTCTTCCTGTGTACCTGAACTTCACAAGGTCTGATCTCATCTTCACCGTGGACTTTGACATCGCCACCAAAGAAGATCCACACAGCTTCTATGAGCGTGGAGTTGCTGTCCTGTGCACCGAGTAGATGGAACATTCCTCAAGACCAGCGTCTTGATTATTAAACCACACATAATCCCTTACATTTATTGCTTATTAACCACCATTTAGAAAGTAGCCTGTTGCATTCCAATATAAAACGTAGTTAAAATAAATTGTGGAGCAGTAATTTACACGTAGCTATGATCGTGTTTTTGGAAGGTAAAGAGAGAAGTTGTCAGATGGTAAATGAAGAGGAGATGTTGAAAAGGAAAGTTGAAAGTTAGTTTTTATGAAGGAAATTGTATGTTTTTAGATTGAATAAAGTATGTTGGAATCAAATAAAATGCTTTAATGACTTCAATGTTGTCTGTGATGATAAATTGGACACAAATGGGGAAACGGATGACTTTAAAAGTCAACATGGGGGGAATTTCACTTGTCGTTTATAAAATAGGCTTAGCAAAATGAAATGGTTGACAGCTTCACAGAATTTACCCAATCACTTCTATATTAACTTCATTAAAGTACAATAAAAAATGTTGTATTTGCTAGACCTCATTATTTCCTATTCAATATAAAAAATGATACAGAAGGCCAAACTAACCAGAGTAGGATAAGGTACAAATATTAAGTTCAGTGGATTACTGCCACCTGTTGGTTTGGATGAACTTGTCTTTGCTCAAGAAAAGGTAGATTGAAGGAGAAAGTCAGCTTTACCATTGGAAAATACAAAGAAGACTGAAACAAACCTTAGGTTATGAGATTTTTCTAACATGTGGCAAAACAAATCACACTATCAAGACTAAACCATATTTAGTTTTTCATTTGTGCCTATCTAAAAACTAAACAAATGGCTTCAAAACAATGGTTGAAACTAGTGAATACTTGTGAAATATTTGATATTGAGATACATATTTAGAAAAGAAAACTTCAGCTTGTCATTTCACACTTAATTTTAATTAGGGCACCACTAGCTAAAGTTCAGTGGCGCTTTGGTTGCTGAATGCCACTTTCTAGCAGTAAATACTTTTTAAGCTTTTGTGCGGGAAAACAACCAATACATTTTAAGTCTTTCACAGAACTTCTTTTTTCTTTAATTGGTCTATGGAAGAAATACAGTATCTGTATTGCCAGTGCATAGGTTGTTCTTCAGTCCATAATGGAGACTGACGTGACAATGGTAATTCTCCCAACAAAAAGAATGACCGCCTAAGAACAATCAACACATGTGACAGATTTCAGACACTCAAAATAACTGGAGATATAAATATAAATCGTCTGATCTTTTTACATGAGTAAACAAAGTGCATTGTCAAGTAACTATTTATAGTCTTTCATTCTACCTTAACTTGTTTAAGGCACTGATATGACTGCAGTACTTCAGTGTGTCAGTCCATGGTAAGATGGCTCGAACATGTTTCAGATGCAGAGTCCCTTTCTTCCTGTTGGTCCTCCATGTTGACAACACACTGCCTCTTTCTTTGCCCCAGCTCAACCACTTCTGCTCCAGGGAAACCCATCTTTCTCTTGTAAAGCGACCTGAGGGGGCAGGGGGAGCTCTCAGAGAGATCTGTCGCCTGGGACAAACTCACTTCTGCTGGGGTTACAGGTGCAGGTGTGTGAGGCGTGGAATATCTAGTAGCATGAGAGCCGGAATCATCTAGTTGACAGTGCAAAGCTACATCCATGGTTTGGGATTGCATTGTTGAATCTTCGGCCATTTGCTCTGAAAGAGCTCTACCACCATCCCCGTCTCTGTCTGAGGTCAAAATGTAATCATCACACATCTCAGAGTCACTCCCACATTTCATCTGGACATCTTTGTCTGATACAGCATCTCTCATGCCATTTTTCTCCACATCCCTTAGGGAAACAGAAGCAGGATGATTGATAAACCTTCTGCTCCTGCCCGAGAACCGACAGCCTCCTCCTCCACCTTTTCCCTGCTGCTTGAATCGCCTGCTGGAGACATTGATGTTTGGCTCATCAGAATCCTCAGAGCTCCCATCATATGGGTCCGACAACTGCAATCAAACATGCAATTATTCATAAACAAATAGGACAGCAGCATGGCCTTGTAGCAGCTATACTTTAATTGAATAAAGGGGGAATGCTTACCAAAGAGCAACAGCCATACCTTCCTGCAGGCTTTTGAGTTAATGGCAATGTCCGCCGAAAAGTCAAACTCTCTGGTGTACTGCTCACACAACCCTGCTCAACAAGAAAGACATTGTTTTTTGCCTTGACAAAACATGTTTTTATTTTTAAAATCAAGAAAACTCAATGCTTTTTGGAGCACATTCCATTTCTGTACAATAAACTAAATTAGACTCCATTTTAAAATCAAATTAATTGTGGAAAATATCCGAACATTTGGGAACTTGGCCTAATATATTTTAAAGCTTATCCAAGTGGTTATTGTGAATATTGTGAAGTAAAGTATTACCATAGTGCTGGTGTCCGACAACCTTGGACTGATCTCGGAGTCAGAATCAGAGCTGGACACTTTACACATCTCCTGACAAAAAACAGAGGTCACTCAAGTCTACATTTATGTCAATGTAAGACAGCAGTATAATGATTTTTGATTTAACTACTGAAAAAGAGGCCAGAGCACTCTCAAAATGGTGATGGCTAACTTGTACCATGTATTTGAAGGCAAGCTGGTCCATGTTGTTGGGCACATGTCTCTCCATTTGATCTAATTGGGGGAGAAAAATGTGAATTTGTAAGAGCAATATTGCATTTAACCACATTCAAAGGTCCACAAAAGTTAATACCGGTAGCCTACTCTTATTTCATTGTTTTAGAAATTAAAAAATCCCAGCATGCAGTATAAGCAATATGGAATGAATAACGTTAGCATGCACTTCGTATTGCAAAATACAACTTAAGTATGATGAGTTTTAATTCGGCAAAAGAATAACCAATATTTATACCTGAAAATGACAGTTGACGTCTTCTTCTTTGGCGCTTGTAGGCCTACTTCTTTGACCATGATAGATTAAAACACGTAAAATATGTCTTTGTTGTTTGTAACGAGAAGATGGTTGATTAATTAACCAGCAGAGTAGCAGGTGTCTTTGATATGATGCATGCAGCCATGTGTTCCCACAGTCAGGTGAGCAGTCTAAAACGCCACTTAGTTAGCTCATTACAAGATTTTAACAAAATAATATTTCCGGTGATTTATCGCTCTCCAAATTAAAAGTCAGCTATCTTTCTGCTGTATAACAGACCAAAAATGCCGATATATTACCTTTTAAATTGGTCCCTGTTAAGTTAACCACCCTTCAGTCTGTTTTATATATTTGTTTCACCAAATATATAGATTTAAAGAGTTCCCGACCCCAAAACATGTGCAAGAAAGTTACTTTAATGTAGAAGTCCACGTTGGTTTGGTTGAACAACCGAACTTACCACCAATATAAAATTAAAATTAAAATAAAAAATCAAATTTAAAGTTAGTGTACTGTTGCAGAACAATTTAATTCTGATTAATTATAAAGCTGTGGCAACTTTGTTATTAAATACCTTCAGTCCTCCACCAGTTCCCCGCTGAACCGTTGGGGGAACGGGATAGTCGGAATGCCTGCTCCCTGTGCGTAAGATCCGGCCTAGGGGAAAGAGATGAATGTTAAATTCAAAGATGGCGGCGGAGGGAGGAGGGAAGGAGATGAACGAAATTAAAACTCAGTTCACAACTCGGGAAGGTGTCTACAAGCTCCTCACTCACTCCGAATACAGCCGTCCCAACAGGGTGCCTTTCAACTCGCAGGGCTCCAACCCAGTCAAGGTCTCTTTCGTTAACGTCAACGATCAGTCGGGAAACGGCGACAGGATCTGTTTCAATGTGGGCCGTGAGCTCTACTTCTACATCTACAAAGGCGTTCGAAAGGTAGCGTGTCAACCCGGGATATCGCATGTTGAAAAGCTTCATTTCTGGCCTAGCTGTTGCTGAAATATGGACTTGTGTGGGCTTTATTAAATAACTCTGACAGGTGCTTGACTTTCAAATTAGCAGGCAGCTTGTTAGCTTGAAGCTAATCTGAAGCTAGCCAACGTAATTTAGCTAACGTTAGCAGCAGCTACTCCCGAGGCCAGGGGCTAAATTCCGTCCACAGTCCGGGAATCTGTTTTGGTTTTAGTTGGATGGTATTATAAGTGGGATTTGATAACGACCAGTCGGTTAAAGTGGAGCTTTTGATTTAAGTTATCAGGGTTAGCATTTCTGGTATAGTTTGTGGTGACAGTGACAGTTCTTGCGTTGACACCCATAACACCTGTCGACGACTTTTGTCATGTGTCGACAAATCAAAAATAATGTCGATTCAGTTTTAGGACAGTCATTCAGCTAGCAGGCTAAGCGTTGCAGTCAGCCTCTGACTAATGGCACTGACTCAGCTTTTAGCTCGGGGATGTGTCTCATGAAACTAGGCTGACTTTCTCTGCTTGTAGGGGAATGCTAACGTTAGCTAGTTAATGTAGTTGTGACTGTTATTGTTGAGCGTACAGTGTGGTAGTAATCTGTATTTGTTAGGGTTAAACATCTCTGTAAGCTCTGTATGGTGATGGTTTCCCCTGACAAATACTGCTAGTTGTTAAACAGAAGGTGGAGGACGAGTGGAAATCACATAATTGTTCACTTTCAGTATTTTAACATAGTTTTATTATTATTAGTATATTACAATACTAACAATCTCAAAGCAGTCCTGTATTTTGTCAATAACCTTACATCAAGTGGTTTAGCTAACAGCTGACTTGACATCACAGATTGACAGGAATCAGCTGATTTATAACTTGTGTCGAAAAGGAATGTGTCATGGCCTTTTTTAAATTATTCACAGTGACATGTGCTTGTCATGTGTGCCATTATTTCTCTGTAAATCAGCATTTAGCTGAAGGCTAAACTACCAGAAGTTGGAACAATCACAGATTATTGTACAGCTGCAGCAGATACATTTAGGCAAAACATAGTAAGTAAATAAGCAGCTTTTTTTTCTTCCTGTAAGGTATATCCATAACCTTCAAAGTATTCCTTAGCACTGTTGACATGGCATGTTTATGTACCCTTTTTGCTGATAATGTGAATAATCAAAGCACTTTCTAAAAGCCTTGGCATTTTTTTAGGTGAGAGAGAAACACTCAATGTCACATCCATCAGTAATGGAATATGATGACTCAGTGGTTTTCGAATGTTCCACTCTTCCACCTAGTGTGCAATGTAAATCATTAACAAATAAAACTGGTTGTGTGCAGTATATGCCCAAGGTGTTTTGTTCATTGCAGTAGAATAATGTTTCCTGATATTAATAACAAAGTGTACATCATACAGTGTGATTGCTAACATCTATCCAAATACAGAGAACAGTTAATCAGTGACCAAAAAAGTTCAGTTTGACCTTTTAAAAATGGATGAGTTCAGATGTCATTTATCTTAAACTTGGTTGCAGGAACCTTTTATCTAACAAGAATGAAATCAAATGTACCGGGTTAAAATAATTAACTTTGTCCCTTCAGTTCCTTTTTTAAATTCTATTTTCTGTGTTTGAGATGAAGCACAGGAAGAAAAAGTATAAATCCAAACTTTTCTCCACTGGTATGTTTTATGACAGTTTGACAACAATAGCCTTTGTCATGCAACACAGCCCATAGACTAATTTTAGATGGTTTTCAAAGTTACTGCTCTAACTTCATGTCATGCACACTTTCTTTCTTCAGGCTGCTGACCTGAGCAAGCCCATAGACAAGCGCATCTACAAGGGAACGCAGCCCACCTGTCATGACTTCAACCACCTCACAGCCACAGCAGAGAGTGTGTCCTTGCTGGTGGGTTTCTCAGCAGGACAGGTACAGCTTATTGACCCCATCAAGAAGGAGACAAGCAAGCTCTTCAATGAAGAGGTAAGCATCTGATGGACAGAGGTTACATTATTTAGAGTTGTGTGGAACATTTTTCCCTAAATAGATGAACAACAAGTATCCTTGAAGTACACTCTTCAGTCTTCCTATGACAATTTATTGTTGTGAATGACAAAAAGTGTAATGTGTTCAAAGATTTCCCAAAGCTTTTATGTACTTTTTATTACTTTTTGTATTTTCTGTGCCCCAAAATTGTCACACTTTCAACATGTTTGATTGATTGCTGATACTGTGCTGACATTATGTGCTTTCCTCTCCCCTTCTCTTTTTTCCCCCGTCTGCCTCTCAAACTCAACCATCGCTCCCTCCTGTCAGAGACTAATAGACAAGACCAGAGTAACATGCGTGAAGTGGGTGCCAGGCTCTGAGAGCCTGTTTCTGGTTTCTCATTCCAGTGGGAATATGTATCTATACAATGTGGAGCATACTTGTGGCACCACGGCACCACACTATCAGGTGCTTAAACAGGGAGAGAACTACTCTGTACACACATGTAAGAGTAAATCCACGCGGAACCCTCTCCTTAAATGGACAGTAGGGGAGGGGGCTCTGAATGAGTTTGCCTTCTCTCCGGATGGGAAGTTCCTAGGCTGTGTTAGCCAAGACGGCTTCCTACGAGTCTTCAACTTTGATGCGGTGGAGCTTCATGGCACCATGAAGAGCTACTTTGGTGGCTTGTTGTGTGTGTGCTGGAGCCCTGATGGAAAGTACATAGTTGCAGGCGGAGAGGACGATTTAGTGACTGTGTGGTCGTTTTTGGACTGCAGAGTCATCGCCCGAGGTCATGGGCACAAGTCGTGGGTCAGTGTGGTGGCGTTTGACCATTACACCACCAGCGTGGAAGAGAGTGACCCGATGGAGTTCAGTGGCAGCGATGAGGACTTCCAGGATCAGATGATCCACTTCGGACGAGACCGGGCCAACAGTACGCAGTCTCGACTCTCCAAGCGCAACTCGACGGACAGCCGGCCTGTTAGCGTCACGTACCGGTTTGGCTCAGTGGGCCAGGACACTCAGCTGTGCCTATGGGACCTCACTGAGGACATCCTTTTCCCCCATCTTCCACTCTCACGGACACGGACACACACTAACGTGATGAATGCTACCAGCCCCCCTGCGGGTGCTACAATAATCACTAACGCCTCTAGTAACACTACCAATGGCAACAACAGTGGTGCCAATACTCCTGGCATTAACTCCCTCTCTACTACATTACCACGCTCCAACAGCCTACCCCATTCAGCCGGCACCACCACAACAACAACAACAACGACAACGACAACAACGACAACGACAAACAACACCAACAAAGCCAGCAGTGGTGGCGGCATCGGCAGTGGTATAATGGACAGTGCCATTGCTACAGGTGTGAGTAAGTTTGCCACGCTGTCACTCCATGATCGGAAGGAACGCCACCACGAGAAGGACCACAAACGCAACCACAGCATGGGCCACATCAGCAGCAAGAGCAGCGACAAGCTCAACCTGCTCACAAAAACCAAAACAGACCCTGCTAAGACTCTGGGCACTCTGCTGTGCCCGCGCATGGAGGATGTGCCCCTCCTCGAGCCCCTCATCTGTAAAAAGATAGCACACGAGAGACTGACTGTACTCATATTTTTAGAGGACTGTTTAGTGACTGCTTGTCAGGAAGGATTTATTTGCACATGGGCGAGGCCAGGCAAAGTGGTAAGTTCTTTTTAATCTAGGAAATGTGGGGAAAATTGAAGTGTCTTTCAATCATAGGCTGTGCTAAAATCGGTTGGTGGGCTATAATAAAAAAAATTAAGACAAAAAAATGACTTTCTGATAAGCATAAAATAAAAGTATGGACATTAGGAAATACCATTTTGATCTTTTATAGTCAGATTGTCACTCTCTGCAGGCAGGCAAGTAACATATCACTTTTAAAAAAATGTAAATCTGCTTTCCAATTTAAAAACCTATTACGTTTCAGATATAACCACTGCTATGGAAATATTAGTCTGGTTATATAATGCATTCTGATAAGGAGGATTTCCTGTGTAGACCTGGGAGGGGACTTTAATCCATAAGCGTGTTCATTGGTTCATCCTAATCATCCCACAACGCAAAGCAGCATAGCCAAGAAGTTATCTGCATACACGCTCGCATTTCAGCTTTATGCAAATGGCTCTGTATGCGCCTAAAGAATCTCTGCAGTGCCTCGCATGCTTACAGCTTAATGTGTATACACCATTGTATACTTCCCTGTTGTCTGTGTCTGAGAGACCTTGCCAGAAAAAGGCACATGACAGTATGGATCTGGAACGTACACACGGCTACTTTGTCCATTTAGATCGTTTCTACATTAACAGGCGCCATGAAATGTCTAATAAGTAAAAACAAAAACATTAGTGTCCTGTGAAAATTGAACAAATTTGATCCCGGAAAACATTGGTAGAAGTTATACATTCTGAATAATACTATGTTGTAAAAGTATGATACTTAACAGTTTGGCAAGCTTGCCCTGTGTAAATTATAAGGACAACAATTCCCTTGAAGGTCAGATCAAGAGGTTTAAAAAAAGCCTTTGGAAATTGACCTGGTCATTTATATAAGAAGTGCCTTGCTCAAGCAAACCTGTTAAACACACCGTTAGTTTTGCACTGTATACTCTTCTCCACTTTGACTGCTGCACACAGGCTTTGAGTTAAATGCAGGGGACTGGGATATGGAAGGAAGAAGCTAGAGGATCATTTTTATTGAGCTATTTGTTGCTTGATTTTTGCTTCAGTATGTGAACTTTCCCAATGCAAATCTCCTTGTTTTCCTTTTTCCAGGGTTTATTGTCATCCCAAAACCAAGCCAGCTCTCCCAGTGGAACAGTAGTATAGCCACAATATTTCTGCTGCTAAAGAACCCTGCAACCCAGAGTCTGATGCTGCTCTTCACCCTGCAAGCATTGCAAGTTTTCCTTTTCTTTTAAACCCCTTCCCTCCCCCCCCCCCCCCCTTGATTTTGTTAATGGCTTTTTCAATTTTTTTTGTTTATCACCCACTTGACCTAGTGGAGGAATGAAGCAAGAAAAGGTGTGGTGGTGCAATTGTGGACTTTATGCGCTCATGTTCTATTGTTCTCTAAAGTTTTAACACATTTTATTTAGATTTAAAAAAAAATCTTTCTTTCATGTCAAATCTCATCAGACTGTCCCCTCTGGAACTAAAGTGTGGCTCTGAGAGATGCAAACCAGATAATTATGGCTTGAAATGAAAGTGATGGTTCATTTAATTTTCATAATGGACCTTTTTTGTTTTAACCTTGTACTGTAGCCCAATCCCAACTCGGGGTTCCAAGAACCAGAATTTTGGATGAACTATCCTTTTACGACCAAGTGCGGGAGCATCCGAAAATGTTGCATCCATCCACATTGACCCATCCCTTCTGTCTTTTCTTAAGTAGAACCTTCCCATCAAGGACTTTGCACTGATTTTGTTATTTTGTTGTTTGTTTTTATAACTACTCTTAATGGAACAAAAGAGAAGGGTTGAGGACTGCCTTGTCGCACTCGGCGTTAACATCCTCAGTCTTGAAATCTGAATCTATAAAGTTGGATGCTGCAATCATAGTCTTTTTAAAGAAAACAAATTGTTTGCACTTAAATTAGTTTAGTAGAAGAAGATGGCTTTACTTTTTGGGGTGTGCTCACAGATGGCTAATAACAGTAGGTGAAGACAAATCATAAAAAAAGAACTATTAAAACCTTTATCTATTGAGCATTTATTTTAATATTATTTCAGATTCAAATCTGCTCTGTATCATAATGTGTATATTGTAATTAATTGATTTGTTGGGGGCCTAAGCAAACTACCATTATTCCAGTGGAAGTCTTCTCATTGATAGTTATATTTCTAAAGCCTAAAGTATACATATTAATAATATTAAAATAATCTTGAATACATTGTTTTCTGTTCCTTTTTTGTTCACCCACGTGTGCTGTGTTTACACAACAAAACTGTAATGTTTGAAAATTGTTTTTATTGTCAAAATGCCAAAGCAGCTGTCAGGTCTGGAAGTCTCTGAAGCTGAGACGAGTGAATCTCAAAAAGACTTGATGCGTGCTCGCCTTATGCCTCATTTACAGAATATCACTGTGAAGGAAACATGGAGTTTAAATCCTCCGATTTTTTTTAAAGAAATGTCCCAAAAGCCACATGAATAATTTAGGAAAAGGAACTTCCAACAAGGATTCTTGCCTTTTTCACACTACTGCAGTATTCATGTACTTGTATATGTGTGTATGATAACCAGCTATTGATAATGCTAAGAAGATTTCAACAAACTAACTTTAGGCTAGCTGTGAAGCAAATATATTTTTGAAGTTGATAGAAGTTTACATTTCCCACTTTCACATATATTATTAAAAAAAAAAGATTCTCACCATTTATTTTCTCTTAACATTTTTGTGTTAGGAGATTGAGTTGTAAACTAAAACAATTAGGTATATGTATTGTGGTTTAATGACGACATACAAATGACGGCAAACTTCTTTACTCTGGTTATACATCACAATAACCAACAAAGTGCAGACTGAGTCCCAGTCCATTGTACTGAGCTCACAGCTCTAAATAACATGTTCTTAGCCACACTGCTTCAGTGAAGGTTCTGGCTGAGCTACATTCTAAACTAAACATTAAAAAAAAAAATCTGAACTTTCTTAAGTCCATATAAAATACAGATGTCTTCACATATATAGGTGATGCAAAGGGCGAATAGTTTGTTTTCAGTTGTTCCAAGTCTGCTTTGTGGCCCACAGCGGGCTTTTATTTACATTACAGTTTGATTAAGTGATGTGCCTTTTAATATACAATACTGTTGCTAAGGAAGGATAAATGTGAAGCACTTAAAGTGAATGTTTTTCCCTTTAACCTTTTGCGCAGGAAGACTGTTGCCCTAACATCAGTTAATCCGGAGTTTATTCACAGCTATTAAGAAAGAGACACTCACAAGTATACAGTGCCTATAAAAAAGGTATTCAACCCTGCGCTTGGAGTTTTTCCTATTTATTGCTTTACCACTTTGAATCAGCTGATTAATAAGTCACTGTGTAGTGTGTGATCAAAGTCCTGGCACAAATTCTAGATTGGATTTAGGTGTGGACTCACTCTGGACATTAACATACTGCAGCGTAGTTTTCAAATGTTCCCATATTCTATCTGAGGATCTGGTCATTAGACGTCTGTCTTTATGTTATACATTTTTTTACCAGGGCGTTAATTAACAAGCTGTTGGATCTTCAAGATTTCTCTTGTCACACTATAACAACATACAGGTGATCTCAACCCCTTTTTTAGAATGTTATATTTTGGATGTTTGACATTAAAGGTGATAAATACCTTAGCATATTTTTCAGTTTCAATTAATATTCGTTTTTATAAAAGAGTTCACGTATTTAAGGATTTGTCTAGTAATAATTGGTGATTACAATTGGTCAAATCTTTCAAACAGCAAGCGGTCTATGCTTTTCAAATTGCTTAGCTTGTGTAATAAGATCATAAGAACAAATATGTTTTAACACTTGTAAACATGTAACCACTTACCAGTTCAGGTAACACTGACCTCTAATATTGTTTGTGAAGATATCACACTGAACTTCTTACAGTGGGGGTTGAACGCTTTAATGTAGCTATCCTAGCTGCTATGACGACAGGCTTGGCGGTCTTTGTTGCATCGTTTTGTGAAACATGTTTGTGTTTTCTTTCCAGATTTCAACATCAGGCCTGTCCAAACATTGTCCTCTCAACGATGTGTTTGACAGTACTGATCCGTCCTGTTTATTTGAATAAAACATTGGAAGTGTTTTGGCTCTCAGCAGCCTCCATGTTTCCTATCCAGAGGTGGAATGCAGTAGGTCTTGAAAGCAGCACGATGCGACTCATCCCTGGGCTGTGGAGAAAGGAAATGTAGCGTGAATGCCAAATAAAACTGAAAGAACTACCAAGGCACATTCAATGACTGTAATGTAAAAAGCCTGATATCTGTGCAGCACTCCTGTGTTTACCTTGGACAACCTCGTCTGGCACTTTTTAGATGGGATGGTTGGCAGTGTGCCTCTGTGGGTGACGGTAAACGCAGGCAGAGTGGATACAGGGAAGGACATCTGTGGTCCTGGTACTACCATGTTGAGCTTGGGCAGCTCTGCAGGGTAATGAGGGATGTTCCGTCGGATGAGAGGCTCTGCTACATGCTTCATGTTGTGCTGGAGAGGGTGGAAGTATCACATGAAAACAAAGCAGTTGTATTCATATTTCTGACAACTTACTTTAGTTGAAATCAATCGAAAAATGCATAATTTTTCATTAACTGGTCAATTTTGGCTTTCCTCTTGGCTATTTTGCTTACATAACATGGTCTTTATTTTTAGAAAAGTAGAGAAGGAAACATCCAAATCCACATTTTACTGTACAGTGTTTCCCACTGCTGTCAGAATCAATTGAAGGGTCTCTCCTTAAACTCTGACTTACGCTTATTAAAGGGGTTTGCCTTGTGTGTCTTCCCCTCAGCTGTTTGCCAAGTCTGGTTGGACGCCAGATGTGATCTAAGGAGTTGTACGTCCCACTACTGTCTAGTTCTTCCATAGTCCCAGAAACTCTGTGAAGCGTCTCGGCTTTCTTCTCTGCCAGCCTGGGGAAAAAATTGAGCAAGGAAGACTTCTATTACAAGTGTCAGGACATGAGCATTTAAAAGTATTTTGTCTCCGATTTGAAATGTTGTCATCTTAAGGTGATGAAATAATTCTAATTTGCATGGTTTACCTGATTTCCCTAAAGTATGTGTGCCGCAGGGCTGTTTCTGCAGTGATGCGTTCATCAGAGTCATAGGCGAGCATCTGATAGAGCAGTGACAGAGCTGGAGCCGGGCAGTGAGGGAGTAACCGTGAGATACCGCTGCCTTTTTTAGGGGGAAAGTTGAATTGCATAGTTCGAGACCTGCCAGAAATTAAGAAAGCATGATAAGCCTTTGTTTATTAAGCAAATCAAGGTGTTACATATTTGAAGAGGAACACCTACTGCTTTAACTTCTGGAGGATACTTTCTTCCGGTGTCCCCAACACGTCATGGATCTTGGCAACCTGGTCCAACTCATTGGTTCCAGGGAAGAGAGGATTCAAGCTGAAACACGCAGGTACCTGACTGTCACAACCAAACTATTTACATAGCATTTGTTTGATATTTGTTTATGCTAGTGGCTGCAGACTCAATCTATTAGAATGTGAAAAACTAAAGGCAGACATTGATAACATTGTCGTGTATAATCTTATGAGTGTTCCTATTCTGTCTTTTTGACTCACAAACTGTTGTCCTACTTAGGTATTAGAGAAATGCCCTTCCCCTGCAGTGATACCTCATGATCTCATAGAAGACACAACCAGCGCTCCACATGTCCATCTTCAAGCCGTAGTAGCCGTCAGTGAGGAGGCACTCTGGGGCTCTGTACCAGCGTGTGGAGATGTACTCGGTGTGGGGGGGCTTGGAGTAAACACTGCGACACGAGCCAAAGTCGCCAAGCTTCAGACCATTTTGCTGCAATTGTACAAAGCATTTGTTATGACAAAAACATAGAATACCACTGCTATGTTTAAGTAAAGCACATTGTTATAAAACTGTATCTTACTTTGATGAGAATGTTTTCTGGCTTCACATCTCTGTGAAATATCCCACAGCTTGGGGAAAAAAAGGAAGATGGGAAAAACAATTTAAAAACAGTTAATAGCGTTTTAATTAACAACATTACATGAACTGAAGCTTTTTCATAACTACCTGTGTATATGTTCAAGTGACTTGCAAAGCTGGTACATGTAGTTCTTTATTGTATTGTCAGGCAGTGGCATTTTTCTCCCTGTAAGGAATGAATAACCGATATGAGCCAAAAATCCATACATAGTTTACAGAAACACTTGTGTTCAACTTCAAGTTTCCATTTTGTGATTTTTTATATGCTCCTACTTGCAGACATACCTTGAATTAACTCATAGATGTTCATCTCCATCAGCTCACAAATCAAAGACACAGTTCCAGTTTCTTTGTCACTGAAAAATAGCATTAGATTAATATGACATGCAGCATGAAATATGCCTGAGGCAATACACTAACACAATCTACACCACTTAGTATACTCACAAAATCAGCTCATGTAGCTGGATGATATTTGCATGTGGGCTCAGTCTCTTCATTGCCTGGACTTCCCGCAGGTTATTGGCCTGCTCCAGACTTGATGACAGTGAAGATATGGCATATAAGTGTACATATACACAGTAAATTGCTGTTATTTGTGTAGTAACATTACACATGTGCTGTTTATTGGCATTGTAACACACAAGAGGATAGAACCGATTTAAAGGGCACAGTTTGTGATAACAGCCAACTCACATTTCAAGATGTCTATTGTTACCTCATAGTACAAGGTCAAAGACGGATAAGCTGACATCTAAAAGAATACTTAAGGCGAAAGGGTTGTCAAGCGGATGACTCCAGTTACAAGTGTCCATACACAACAGGGTATTGTTAAAGGACACCTTTTTGTTGCAGAGTACATACCTGTTAATTGTCTGCTTCATGGTTTTACATGCGTAGAACTTCCCATCTTTCAGGCTCTGAGTTTTCACCACCTCGGAAAATGTCCCCTCTCCGATTTTCTTGATTGTTTTGTAGCCTGCAAGACAATAGAAATAAGAATAGAGACTATTAAAGAAAACATTGTCTTTATATTCTACATTATATTTATGGGAACAATTGTTTCTTTAATCTTCTGAAGTTTGACTAATCCTCTAATCACTTCAGAAGTACATTCAATGAAGGGTCATTCTGTCAAAAATAATTAGATAGATACAAGACAGTCTAGAAGTATGCAGATATATTCCTTAAGTAAAAATAGCAGTAAAAATACACTGTTACAAGTAAAGGTATTGCATTCAAAATAATTTGTCAAGCACAGGTAAACAATTATAAATATTTACTTAAAGGACAAAATGTGGAAATATAAAGTAGCATAAAATTGATAGATCTAAAAGTACCTGAGCATAATGTATTCAGTTACAACCAGGTTACAACCTAACAATACACAACTTGCAACAACTAATCATGTGCAGCTCAGTTATCATGTCTGCTGAAGCCCCCGGTTAAATTTAACTAAATTCAAACAAAACCATAACATCTGAATCTGATGTTCAGTTGAAGGTAACAGTTATACTGGCTTTAGTTATACTAAACGCTAACTAATTGAACTGTACAACAACTGGAGAAAAAAACCGGAAATCAGCCATTGACCTTTGACCATTGAAAGGTAAGGTCAGGTACCTAAAACATAGTCCACAGTGGTCAACATTTTTCGGAAACATCTACTGAAACCAAACTAAAAACTAAGCGTAAAACAGCAACATAGGTTCTCTTTGTGAAGAGGACCCTTAACGACCTGTCAGACCTGTCATCACGCTACTCAGCCGTTAGGTATCTCACCACTTACAATTCATTCCTTTGTGTCTTATCCACCACATGTAAGTCGATTATCCCTAACATACGTATCCGGACAGAACATGTCAACGTAAAGGTTGACAATTATTGTTTTCCTGCGGATCGAGGTGACAAAAGAACACGAAACTCGCATTACGGGTGTTAGCCTAGCCCCGCTAGCAAGCCCTGTTAGCTGACCGTCGCCTTGGTAACGGAGCACGCCTTCGCCCTCCACTCTGACCTGAGGAGGAAACTGGAAACAGTTTGCCTGTTTCTAGCGGTACCGTTTAAAATATCCAGAATTAAAGAAACAACACAATATATCCTGCCGAGCATGACAAAAAATACCAGTCGAGCTTTGTCTCGCTTCAGGCCCACTTTTTTAAACCACGGTGTTTATATATCAACCCTAATTCACCTCCTTACCTTTTTTCCAGAGATGGTTGGTGACCGTAACCCCGTGTATCTTCTGGTTAGGCTGCGGGTTATTGTTCTGCAAGTCGACCACATTTCCCCAGTCGATGTTAGGTGGTGTTCTGCGTGCATTTCGAAGGCTTGCCCTGTTTTTCAGGCCAATAAGCCAGTTTGAGTAGTGCATCATTAGAAGTGCACTTTTATTGCTAAAGAGCCTACCATTAGTTTTGTAATATCGAGTCCCTGCAAAAGCATCACAGGTCAACTGCATTCATGTCAAAGCATAACGTTACCAGGCACCAGTGCACCCCGTACACAATCAATGTATTCTATTCTCCCTCGTCTACTGTGTGGGGGAAAAGGCGTGGATTGCTTATTTTTGATTTACCTCGGCTTCCGTAGAAACTTGTCATTTGTGCGCATGTTCAGTAGTCCCCCTGCATGTTTTCCTGGCTGATGTTGCACTAGACATGTGAATTTCTCAGTGTTTACATTTATTTTCTCTAATTGTAGTCAACTTCTCGGTCACCATGAAGACGAGATTCACCACCATGGATATCAGGGCAGTTATTGCCGAGATCAATGCTAAGTACGTGTTATGTGTTATTGCCAATAGCCAGGTGGCTAAGCTAACTATCGCTCATTTGGATGTTGCTGCTAATGCTGACCAACCATTCATTTATTTGTGCTTTATTCATTCACAGCTACATTGGCATGAGAGTAAACAACGTCTACGACATCGACAACAAGACGTATCTTATCCGACTGCAAAAGTAAGGACAGACAGTTCGAGGAAAACTTGCCTCCAAAAGTTTAAATCCTGTTTCATGTAGCTACTAGCTTTAGAGTAGCAATGCCAAGAAAGCAAATACACTATATCTGTTTTTAAATTGTGATTATATTTACATTACAATTATGCAGTGGTGGCAGTGGCCTTTTCACTGAAATTATATAAGCTCACTATACGTTTTGTATGAACATTCCTATATCTGTCAGCTGGCAAGAAAATGTATAAAGGTGCAATACTGCAATACACAAAAAACCTTGTGGAGTAGAAGTATACAGTATTATGTTCCTCAAAATTGCACAAAAGTACAGAACCTGCTAAATATACATTCTCATATTCCACCTTTCAGTCAGTATGTATAGGCTAACTCAGTGTGTCATTTTTTTCTCAGGCCTGACTTCAAAGCTATTATCCTGATTGAGTCTGGGACTCGTATTCACTCCACAGACTTTGAATGGCCAAAGAACATGATGCCTTCAGGCTTTGCAATGAAAGTATGAACATCTTGTTAATTGAATAACACTGAACAACTTTGTCATGACTGTATAGTATTAATTGTATTGTAGGCTTTTATAATATTTTGTCAGTCAGATTTCACCAAGAATTCCATATACAGTATGTATCAGTAGTGATGGAACTGAGTATTTAAACATCTCTTTCTGTAGTGCCGAAAACACCTGAGGTCACGGCGGTTGACCCAGGTTAAGCAGCTCGGGATTGACAGGATTGTTGACCTCCAGTTTGGCTCAGACGAGGCTGCCTACCACCTGATTATTGAACTGTATGACAGGGTGAGAGAACATTTTGAGATGCACATATTTAACGTTCGATCATATCAGCCCTCTAAACCTGAACCATGACATGTTTTGTGTGTGCATTTGTTGCTCTATTCATATCTATCTGCAGGGAAACGTCATTCTTGTAGACCATGAGTACACCATCCTGAACCTGCTGCGGTTTCGCACAGCGGAGGCAGAAGAGGATGTGAAGATTGCTGTAAGAGAGCGGTACCCTGTGGAGAACGCCCGACCCCCTGAACCTCTCATCAGTTTAGAACGGTAACCACAACTTCACAAGTGCTTGTTAAACTAGATGCGTATCTTTCAGAATTCAGTAAAGATATTATTCTTATACAAAAGTGTTTCTCTCTTTTTGCTTATTCTATGCAGACTCACTGAAATCCTCAGCAAAGCAACTAATGGAGAGCAAGTGAAAAAGGTCCTGAACCCTCACCTTAGTAAGTAGACAGCCCCCAGTTTGAAATGTTTGACTTGAAACAGATACACTTGAGTTTATTTGTTTATCATGTATCAGAAAATCAACAGACTGAACCATGTTTGGTGTTCTTTCCTCACACACTTCTAGCTTATGGAGCCACTCTGATAGAACACAGTTTGATAGAGGCGGGACTGCTGGGCTCTGTCAAAATTGACAGCCAAGTTGATGCTGCCCAAGGTAAGTAGAGGTCACCATTATTCAGTTTTTCTGTAAGCACAGTATTTGATCTAAATGTTTTTTTCAGTTGCACCTAAAATCCTGGAAGCCCTGCAGACTGCAGAAACCTACATGGAGAAGACTGAGAACTTCAGTGGCAAAGTAAAGAGTCTTTCATACAGTATGTACTTATAAGTTCCTTGGGATGTTGTTATAGATGTGTTGTATTCACAAACTCTGCTTTGTTTTGTTCAAGGGCTACATCATTCAAAAGAGTGAGAAGAAACCAAGCTTAACCCCAGGCAAACCCACTGAAGAACTGCTAACGTATGTGTGTTTTGTTTAACACTTGGGTTTGCTATGAACAATTATTTAATTACCGATTAATCTGCTGATTATGTCCTAGATACTTTTATATATTTTCGGTCTATGAGATGTCAGAAAATAGTGAAACATTACAAAGTCAAAGGTGATGTCTTTGTTAGTCCAAAAACTAAAAGTAGCAGAGAAAAGAAGGAAATCTCCACATTTTAAAAACTGAAGACAGTATTTTCTGCAATTTCTGCATGAAACAGTTAATTGATTATCAAAAAAGTTACTACGTTTTGCAGCTCTATTCAATACATTATATGTTACTTAAGCTACCTTTTTCATTTTCATGATGTGTACTTACAGGTATGATGAATTCCACCCATTCCTCTTTGCCCAACATGCAAACAGCCCCTATTTGGAGTTTGATACTTTTGATAAGGTAAATAATGGCATAGCTTCTAATTTGGTTGAGTTTCGTGAGGCCTTGTTTAGAAAAAGATTATTGATCCTTTCTCCTTAACAATGTGAATTCACACCTTTGACAATTATTGGATCTTGATCTACTGTGATCCTCTCACTCAGGCAGTGGACGAGTTCTTTTCTAAGGTGGAGAGTCAGAGGATTGACATGAAGGCCTTGCAGCAGGAGAAACAGGCCATGAAGAAGTTGGACAATGTTAAGAAGGACCATGTGCAGAGACTGGAGGCTTTGCACCAAGTTCAGGTCAGCATCACTGCAATCATTAATGTTGGTGTTGAGAAGAATGCAACAGTAATTCAATTCGACTTTGCTGAAATACATCAAATCTTGTCTGGTGTGTTGCAGGAGGTGGACAGAGTAAAGGGTGAACTTGTGGAGATGAACCTGTCTGTGGTGGAGAGGGCGCTGCAGGTGGTGCGCAGTGCTCTGGCCAATCAGGTGGACTGGACTGAGATCGGGACTATCGTCAAAGACGCACAAGCTGCTGGAGACCCGGTCGCCTGCGCCATCAAGGACCTGAAGCTGAAGACCAACCATATCACCATGCTCTTAAAGTGAGACCATCTGAAATCCCACAAACTGATCTGACTATTGTTAGACCATTATATGCTTATATGTGTCTTTCCCCCCTAGGAACCCCTATGTTTCTGAGGAAGACCAGGAAGAGGAAGAGAAAAAAGATGTGGTGGAGGAAAAAGGGAAGAAAAACAAAAATAAAGACAAAGGACAGAACAAGTTGCAAGGGAACAAGCCCATGCTGGTGGATGTGGATCTTGGCCTATCTGCCTATGCCAATGCCAAAAAGTAGGTTCAAACATAATCCTTAGAACACAGAATTGAGCATTGTGTGTTGCTGTTTTCACAGCTGATGGACTTTGTCATCGTGTTTTTTAGGTACTATGACTTTAAACGCACTGCTGAAAAGAAGGAACATAAAACCATTGAAGCGGCAGGTAAGGTAAGAAAACTGTTTGATTCTACACTCAGGTTTTAGGCAAGAACCAGTCTTTGTTCATATGCAAAGTAGGGATTTATTGCAGTGTAAGTGTTAATGTGATGTATTTATGTCATTCAAGGCTATGAAATCTGCGGAGAAAAAAACACAGAAGACCCTGAAAGAGGTTCAGACTGTGACCACCATTCAGAAGGCCAGGAAAGTCTACTGGTAAGACACACATCACCATTTTGTATTCTACATATTCAGACTTTGATGCAGTATTTTTATATTTACATGACAAGCAGCAGAGTCTTTATTCTGTTAACTGATTCACTTCTTTTGGAAGGTTCGAGAAGTTCTTGTGGTTCATCAGCTCAGAGAATTATCTCATCATCGCAGGAAGAGATCAGCAGCAGAACGAGATTATTGTCAAGCGCTACCTCCGGGCAGGTAATGAATGAACTTAAACACACTCTTTCTTTTTAAGAAAATGAAATTCCTTCCAAACAGATCTAGTTTATCCCCTCATTTATGCCTTTATTTTCTCAGGAGATATCTATGTTCATGCTGACCTCCATGGAGCAACTAGCTGTGTCATCAAAAACCCCTCAGGTAAGCCTTTGCTTTTCCATTCGCTATTTGACCTACAGTTTGTGAACATACTTAATTTTTCCACTCATTTTTGTGTGTCTCCTCCTCTCCATCTTGCTCCCTCAGGTATCCCCGTCCCCCCTCGTACCCTGACAGAAACTGGCACCATGTCTGTGTGCTACAGCGCTGCTTGGGATGCCAAAATCGTCACCAGTGCCTGGTGGGTTTATCATCATCAGGTGAGTCATCCATAGCAGGCCACTAAATATGCTAGCTTGTCATGTTTGTGTGTTATATCACATATAACAATTATAATACTAATATATGTAATTAATATGTATTTATTTAAATGTATTTCACAGTTCCTTTAAATTATAATTAGGCAGAATTATACAAGGTATATTATTGTATGTATTTTACCGCATGCCATTATTTTAGCAAGTTAAATGATTAGAGCTGACGTTATAACAAAGTCACATATTGGCTGCTAACAAGCCAAGAGGTTTGCTGTTAACTTGTGTTTTTTCTTTGATGTTCTGTAATAAGAACTCCACAAAGTCACTTTAACATATTTAATGTTTAATCAATAGGGGCAAATAAAGTATACAAAGAGATCAATGCATTATATCACAGCATTTTAACAACTCTTATTTTCCAATGCACATCTATAAAATAACAAATATAAAACAGATACAGGGTGTTTTATCAGACAGGGGGAATTAAAAGAAAAAAGGATACATGCAGCAAATATACATAAACAATGGATATGATATAGTAGACATGTTTGAATTATTTTTTATTTATAAGCTGTT